TTGGAAGAATTCAAGTCAACAATTCAAACAACAAATGTCCAACAAGCCCACAGCCAGAGTAAATCGCGTCTGTTCAGATCAACTACTTCCAACCAGGAGACGGATGTAGGAGCAAAGCAAAGGGAAAGGAGGCAGAAGGAATGGCCAGGAGAGGAGAATACCGTAGATACGTGGGATGGGGAAGAGAAAGACATAAAGAGAAAGGCTTGGGAGGAGGCCGACAACTTGGTTATCGTGAATGTAGGCAGAGGGAACTTTCCAGATCGTCATTTTGAGAAGTTGTGTGCGCCAAATCGGTATTCCTGCATCAAAGAATCTCGCTCCTTCAGGCTGTTGGGGGCTCGAGGCCTCCGGTCGTCAGTTGCATTCATCGTGATCACCTGAAATTGGTGCCAACGCCTCAATTGACGATGAAGCAGGGAAGATGAGACTGATTTGAGCTGGAAAAATGAGTTCACACGGCAGTAATGACCTCAGAACAGGAGCAGTGCGCATAAAGAGATCCGTGGTGTGGTACAAATCAGCAAATGGAAGCAAAAACGAACGCATTTCATCACGGAGTTTTTGCCTACAGAAACACGCGAAAAATCTGAAGCCATGTGACTCCGGTTTTTTGTGCAATCCGACTTGAGTGGAATGAAGAGGGCAAGTGCGGAAAGGAACAAGGGTCAGGGCATTCAGAAAATGAGCGATATGCCAACAAAGAACGAAGCCTTGCAAGTCTTACGGAGGATGCCGATGACCAAAACGGCGACTGCGTGCTGTGGCGAAGTGAAGAGAGAAGTGGGTTGAATTCGAGACCTTGAAGAAGGAAACAGAGACAAATTTTAAAAATCTCGCCCAAAAGTGGCCACAAGGCGAAGTTGAAATAGCTGTTGAGGCGGCTGAGGACCAAAAACGAGTTCTGTGTGAGAACTTGGCAAGAGATAAAAAGAGGAAACACGATTGAGCTTTATGTCGAGTCCTCCCGAAGAGAAGTGGGATTCATCTAAAAACGGGAGTCTGAAGCCGGTGAGAATTTTGGCAGCCCTTCCCAGACGACCGTTCTCGTTCTTGAAGGAAGGCTTGATGAGGCTGTTGGCATTTAGGGGCCTGTGATATGTGCCAATCAGAATAGATCTGGTAAAGTAGTGTGGCCGAATAGAGCAAAGGAGGGAAAATAAGAAAAATCCCTGGACGTTTGACGGCCGACAATTTAGTTGAAGTAGACATAAGGATAGGGAGAAAGAGATACAGATAAAATAATTAGCCACCTAGAAATAAGACAAGTAGGGAGGCGCTAGCTAGACACAGAAAGATGGATAGTTAGATGGATAGATGGACAGCCAAATAAGAGGCAGAGATGCGTTTTAATAGTTGGTCATAAAAATATGGTGCTTAATAGAGTGAGAGGACTAGAGTGAGAGAGAAAGAGAGAGAGATAACAGAGGAAATACCACAAAATAGGTTTAATGCGCGATCCCAAAAATTGAGTAAATATGACCACTTGAAAACAGAATTTGAGGAAAAAGTTCGTTGACTAACGAGAAAGGCGAACGAGGCAAGTAGAGTAGTGAGGAGATAATTAAAATGGGAAAATGCTAACGGGCAAGTAGACGACACGGCTTCCTACTGCAGATTGGCTTAAGGTGACCTGAAGCGGGAAGATCTACAATCTCGAGGCTATTGTTGGCTCGGGTCGCTCACATGCCAAGTAGGTACCGCATGATGTAGTCGGCAATAAATGCGGCGGGCATCTCAGGCTTATCACAGAAAAGGTGGCACATGTTCTCACTGGAGTTCTGCTTCAGAGCTACAAAGCCGAAGATGCTGGAAAAAAAGTATAAAGGACGATATGAAGAGAGAGGATTAGTGACGATAAGGCAAAACTTTTAAAAATAATAACGTTGCTTTGATGTCCAATTGCAACAGAATGTATCTATCAACGAACACAAATCCGATGACTCAAAGTTCGTAAACTGCGATATACACCTTTCATGAAAATGCATAGCTTTAAAAGTCGCCCTGTTCGTAGAGGCAATTCTGAAGCAAAAAGTATGCTGTGGAATGACCTCGCTGTAGCAACTTGGTCTTGTTGTCAGGGCGACTATGTAGTCCGAAGTCGTCTGCCATAGTAGTTGTCATGAATCCCAGCATCAGACAGTGGACTTGGTACATTCTCAAACGTTTCACCGGCATCGTAGTCGGCATCGTTAGTGAGCTTTGCCATTCTCCGCACCAAGCTACGAACTCGTCAAAGAGACACGTGAGGTCAATCCCTCGACAACCGTTCCGCCGAAAACGGTTACATTATCACTCCTCTTTCTGTTATCGTCTATCTATCTACTCTTTACCCTCTTATCCCACTTCCGCCCTATCACAACTTCTCACTTGTTTACATTCCAATCGTCAAAATGTGATAAAAGGGTGAAGAGTAGATAGATAGACAATGACAGAAAGAGGAGTGATAGTGTAAACGTTTTCGGCAGAACGCTTGATGAGGGATTGGCTTCATTTGTCTCTTTGACGAGTTCGTAGCCTGGCGCTGAGAATGGCAAAGCTCACTAATGATGCCGACTAAGATGCCGGCGAAATGTTTGAGAATGTATCAAGTCCACTGTGGGATGCTGGGAATCATGACAACTACTATGGCAGACGACTTCGGACTAGGTGCGTTCTACATAGTCCCCTTG